TAGAGATAAAGTAGATGGATCCAAGTAGCTTTGGAAGTGGACGGCTTGCCGATGAACTGAATGAGAATTTGAATGTACTTCCAGAAATTCTACCAATTAGAAATTCATTGGGTTTGAAAGCTTCTTTTATAAAAATGCAAATACATCTAAGAGGCTTATGACTGGCGTGAGAGTGTAATTTAGTCTGAATTAGTTCCATCAGCTTATTTTCTGCTATCACCTAGCTGAAGTCAGTCATACTAAAGAGATGAGTTTTATTTGGGGAAAGAATGTTTTGCATAAAGGATATAATCATGGGTGGGACAGGAGGTGGAAGTCTTTGGAAAGACAGAAACATGAAGGAACACACAGGAGACACAGAGAGGGGATGTCAGCATTTGAGAGGACAAAGAACAAGCAAGCTGGCCTTCTCTGAAAGTTTGCCTGATTGCCTTGTAGAGACAAGTCCCCAGTCCTTAACAATGGCTTGTAGACTTGTTTGAAGGAGAATATAGCAGAGGGGAGGGAAAAAAAAAAAAGAAAGCAACAAAAATCCTGAAATGATATTAGGCATTGGCAATTTTCCATATTGCTTTGTTTAAATCCAAGCTAAGCTACCCAATTCCCTGACAATATTTCGCTGACATCATATGACAAATAGGAATTTTTAGACCTGAAATATTAAAAACAATCATCAGTGCCATGTGAGATAAATAACTCTTATTGATCAATGCTTAAAAATAATTTCAATTATGTTATTTTAAAGATACGTTTTATACTTGATAGGAAACATCTATAATTTTTTAAAGTCCAGTCTTCTTTAGATACAACAAAAGATTTTTTTTATTGTTTTCCTTTTTCTTCATATACCCACATTTTATTATAAAAATGAGGATACAGATCCTAAAGTGTTCAATATGCTTCCTATGCATCAAGTCTGGGTACATTTCAAGCTTCACGTGAAAGCCAATGCTGAGAGCTAAGATAAAACTACTGGAAAGAATGAGTAATGCCCCCAAATTTGGCACACTTCTAACCAGGGCTTGTTGGATGATGATACTGCATAAAAAAGAACAAAAACAACAACTCACAACCCAAGTAAAACCATTTTCTGATGTCTTGTTTTATATTTATATCTTAAATATGGGAAAGAAATCTTTTTTACCTAAAAAACAAAGTTACTAAAAAGCAACAAAAACCATTAGCCAGAATTTGGGCCAACTAAAGTTATGAAACTGTTGTTTTTTTTTTTTTTTTCAAAAGGCAAAGCATTAAATGGCAAGGTAAAAATAAATCTCTGTGTTAGCCAGTAAAAATTCCATGGATTTGTGCCTTTCAAAGTGAGTCACAAGTCTAATGGCAGGTACACTCAGCTTGGCGATGGAATGGAACAGACTGTGTTAATCTCACATGCTGTCTTCAAACACTCCTCTACCTCTGGCCCAAACTCTGTCCTGCTACACACGCACGGTTCCAACCACGTTTACCAGTATGATCCACCCTCCACTCTTAGCATTGCTGTCTCCACCCACTGCTTAAGATAAAGCCTGGGACGGCATGTCCGCATGAAAAAAATGCACAGTGGAATCATGGAATCTCAACATTATTAATCCTTGCCAAACTTTGCATGTTTATAGACAAGGAAACTGAAGCACCAGTAGGCTTTAAATCTTGCTCAGAGGGCGCCTGGGTGGCTTAGTTGGTTAAGCGACTGCCTTCAGCTCAGGTCATGATCCTGGAGTCCTGGGATCGAGTCCCGCATCGGGCTCCCTGCTCAGCAGGGAGTCTGCTTCTCCCTCTGACCCTCCCCCCTCTCATGCTCGCTCTATCTCGTTCTCTCTCTCAAATAAATAAATAAAACCTTAAAAAAAATTTAAATCTTGCTCAGAATTATACATTGATTAAGCTTCAGAGCTAGAACTTGTCAGGTATTCTTCTCTGAAACTATTGGGAGACACTTCTCCAGGCAATTTTCACATTTCTGTACATTTTGCAAACAGAGCCACTGACAATCTTTGTTCTGAACTATCTTTTCAAAGATATTTATATAGCAGATAGCCTTGAAAAATATAGATTGTGTCTTGCTCTGGAGCAAAGAGAAGGTTTTGTCCAGTATAACAAAAATAATGTCTCTCTCCGGAGCAAAGGGCAGGCATTCTCACTGCCCATTATAAAACATTCTAACTCCCTAAGGTCAGAGCTCGTCTACTGAAACGCAAACCACTAAGTATACAAGTGTCACCTAGCCCATTTCTCATCATCCTGTGGGAACTGGGATTCAGTAAGCCAGTGCAAATGCTGGTAGTCTGCCTACCACTATTGCTGTAAATAATAGAGCTGTTTGTCTCTGACCCAAGAGTCTCATGTCTTCTGCCTGTGCCCCGGGAAACAGTGGCAGGCAGACTTGTGAGCTTAGAAATAGGGTGAAATCTCAAACCCTTCACAGTTTTTGCCAGAAACATATTCACAGTTTTTGCCAGAAACATAAAACCATAGTGATAATCAATCATATAAAGAGAAAAAATATTAAATTTTGTGAGTCCTGTTGCTTGATGTTTTGAATCTAGGATGACATTGTTGGAGCGCTATGTGTTAGGTATAATATATATATATATATTTAATTTTTGTTAAGATTTTATTTATTTATTTGACAGAGAAAGACACAGCAAAGGAGGGAACACAAGCAAGGGGAGTGGGAGAGGGAGAAGCAGGCTTCCCAAAGAGCAGGGAGCCCTATTCGGGGTTCAATCTGTGGACCCTGGGATCATGACCTGAGCTGAAGGCAGATGCTTAATGACTGAGCCACCCAGGCACCCCAGGTATAATATATAATATGCTTTATTTTTCAAATCCAATTACACACACACACACACACACACACACACACACATATATATAGAGGATCTACTATGTTTTTAAAATTTAACTTATGAAATGGGTTTCATTAGCCTCACTTTATAGATTAAAAAAGCAAACAGAAAAACTAACCACTTCTGAATCACAGAGCTAACAGGTGGCAGAGCTAAAATCCCTGGTTTCAAAAATTTGTGTCTTGTCTACCTCCAAATGAAACACAGCCTAAAATGGCACAGTCCATTTGGCTTTAAATAAAATGGCTCAATTATAAAGTAGTTTGCTTATCTTACCTCTTTAATAATAGTATATATTTAGGTACTAACATGTTGCTATCTAATCTGTAGTCAATATTAAATATTCAATATTGATAACAAATAGAATGTTTTTAATCTTGTGAATACTGAGTTTATACCACATAGTATATATTCGTAGCAACAGTCTACAACAAAATCTATTGTATACAAAGCTTAAATCAGAAAATAATCCTGTGGCCTATATGCTGTCCTCTAAAGCTACGCATCTAAGAAAATTATCTTTAGCTAGAGACAAATAACATGATAATTATTTTAATAACTTTAAATTTAAATAAAATTATTTATTTAAAAGGCAATATATTCCGTGCAATTATCCTGTTAGTCACAGAGCTAAATAGAAAATTGAAACACTAGACAGAGTGGAGAAAGGACTACATTATGTCTAGAACCTATAGATGTTCTTGAGGCAAAAATAATATTTAAAACAAAAGAAGACAGTTAAAAGCTTCTTAATGGCAGATAAGCAAAACATAAAATATGAGCTTATGTAAGTGTTGTTTGGGGAATTTTTTTAAAGTGGTAACCCACTTCTGGATATAAATGAGCTTTTATTCCTATGATTCTACATGTTCTGCTGACTCCAAAGCTAAAGAAACTTAATGTTTTGAATCAATCATTTTGAAATGTAAGTAGCAACAAAGAAAAACATACTTTAAAAATATGCAGGCTCTGTTCAAAATGTAAACAAATTCTTTTCTTCAAATTGCCTAAAGGATCCCTAGATACTTACTTATAATATATTAATGGAAATAATTATTTTACTTGCATCTCACAAAAACATTTTTTTTTAATAAAATAAAAAACTACCCAGCTGGAAGTTTACAGAAACAAAATGAAACAAAACTTAGAGATTATGGAGTCAGTTACAATTGCCATAGAAAAATAATAACTATAAAACCAAGTTTAGACAGCTATTTTTTAATTTTAGATGAATACCTTATATTGAAAGTTGAGTTGTTGATTCATTTTTACTTTATTTTAATCCTTGAGAAATGACAGTAGAAGACTGTAGTCTTTACGATGGGGCATACCAATGTAGTATATGTTTTGTGTGAAGCAGAAACTCCACGGAAAACCCTATGGGACATGAGGTTTCTGATCCCACTAGGACACAAGTTAAATTTTTAAAAATAGAATTGAAGCTCTGCAGATCTAAATTGTAATTATATACTGAAATACTTTCTAGGGCCATAAGCTGTTTAACATTAAATGGATTTTAAACAAGAAATTTGAGGAACCCTTTCACTCATGGGTTTTAAAGTAAGCTATAATTTGATCTCTGAAGACTCATAGACCATCTGATTTTTTTTTTTTTCACTTTGGGAATCGATAAGAAAATGAGATGGTAATTTTTGCCCCAAATTTCTAATGTTGTCAAGACATGGTATTACTCATTCAGTATCCTGTCTGAAACACACAGACAAATTGAGGGAATTTCAAAAAGCAGAAACACAAATTTGTTAAAATCAGAATTACTTAATCATGAAGAAATACATTTTTTTAAAACCTTGTTTTATATAATTAAGAAGTATTTTAATAATTATAATAATTGCTTTTAAAATAAAACAGCAATAATTTTCAAGACAAATACAAAAGAAGAAAGGAACATTCACCCAGAAAGTTAGAAGGCAAAACTGAAAGAAAGAATACCAATGCTATGCTTGTATTCCTTTTTATCAGGGTCTCCCTATGGGCAAAACCTTGTGGATTCTGGGAGATTTGTGATAGTGGAATGATAGACCAAGGAACTAAATATAAGGATCTGATATCTCAGATCTCATTATTTGGTATCTGCGGAAGCAGCCTACATAACTCACATGTTTATGCATAAGGAAGCAAACTAAAGATTACCTGGAAATCTTCTAATTATTTGACATAATCCTTCTTTTCTGCAAAGCTGATGCTGTATATCTGGTAATATATTTACCTGAAAGGAATGAAAAGATTCTAGTGAGTTAGGTATTCATGAATGTTAAAGCAAAGGAAATGCAAAAACCCACAGGGTAAAGTGGTGAACTATTGTCTACCCTGGCTACAACCTACCTTCAAATCTCTTCAAGTCAACATTCAAATCCAGAACAGTAAAGTGGTTTATTTGATAATATAAAACAAAAACTTGCCCTTAGAAAATTTTAAAATATTTGGGAATACTTCTGAAAACCTTGATATATTTCAAAGCCATGATATGTGCTAAAACTAAAAGGAAATACTTATGTCCTTATGGCAAATAGGGTAATACAAATAACTTGAAAGTTGACAATTATGCTTTGGCAGAAAATAGCACTAAACAGGGGCGGGGGGGAGGAAAAGATGGCAGAGGAGTAGGGGACCCTATTCCAACTGGTCCCCTGAATTGAGCTGGATATCTACTAGACCACTCTGAACACCCACAAAATCAGCCTGAGATGTAAGAAGATATATCTGGATCTCTACAAACAGAATATCACAGGCAGTTGGTTTTGAGGTATGAAGTGGGGGGCCTTGATTCTGTGGGCAGATATTGGAAGATAAATGGAAGGGGGAGGGAGGCTTTGGGATCCTGCACCGCCGGTTCACAAAAGCTTCCCATGCTGGGGATGGGGCAGACTCAGACCAGTAGCGGTGGAAAAGGACTTTAGGGCAGCCCCCGGGACTGAAACCTGGAGCTGCAGGGGCACGTGTGTGAACTGGAGGCGGCTGGCGGTTTTAAAGCACAAAGGTCAGAGACATGCTCTGATCTGGAGGCGAGGACTGGGAGTGCTGCTGAGAGGCGCATAACCCAGGAGGCTGCAGTTTTTAGCAGCACAGACAGAAACGGAGATAGTGTGGCCTAGAGAGCTCACTGAAGAACAGACTGTGATCTCTCTGCTCTGAGGCAGAGGGTTGGAAATAGTCTCTTCTGCTCTGACTCTCGGAAGAGACACGGAAAGCCACCAGGGAAAGCCGCCAGAGAACAAAAGGCCCCCAAAACCGGTTTTCACTGAGCCCATCCCCCCCCCACAAGGGGCAAGGCAACTCTGCCCAAACAGGGTTGCCTGAGTAACAGCGCTGCAGACCCCTCCCCCAGAAGACAGGCTGGGAGAACAAGAGGCCAGCAACCCTAAAGTCCCTATAAAACAGGTGCATCTTGCTTGGGTTGTGGTCAATAATTTGAACTCTGTACATTCCCTCAACCACCCCTCAACAGAATGACTAGGAGGAGAAACCCCCAAAATAGTCAAGACTCAGAGACTGTGACTTCTGCCACAGATTTACAAATGGATACAGAGATAACCAAGATGTTGGAAATGGACTTCAGGGTAGCAGTTATGAAGACAATAGCTAGAATGGAGAAACTGATTAATGGCAACATAGAGTCTCTAAGGGCAGAAATGAGAGCTGAACTGGCAGAACTTAAAAATGCTATCAATAAGATCCAATCTAATCTAGATACTCTAACAGCTAGGGTAAACAAGGCAGAAGAATGAATTAGTGATCTAGAAGACCAATTGATAGAAAAGAAGGAAAAAGAGGAGGCCTGGGAGAAACACCTAAAAATCCATGAAAACAGAATTAGAGAAATAAGTGATGCCATGAAACTTTCCAATGTCAGAATTATTGGGATCCCTGAGTGGGTGGAGAGAGAGAGGACTAGAACATATATTTGACCAAACTGTAGCTGAGAACTTCCCTAATCTGGGGAATGAGACAAACATTCATGTCCTAGAGGCAGACAGGACCCCTCCCAAGATCAAGGAAAAGAGAACAATGCCCCGACATGTAATACTAAAACTTGTAAATCTTAGAACCATCTTAAGGGCAGTTAGGGG